CTTGGAGAGAGTAAATGGTTCAAGATAAATTTTCTAAACTTGAGGATGCCACACGAGAAATGAGACATTATATTTTTCTCTCTTTAATTAATGGTTAAAACTTGTTTACCAGCTTGATGTGTAACAAATTTAGCTCTAGGTAATAATATTTAGTTTTCATTTACGAGCGGCACGATTCCCTTTCCTATTAACAAGATTGGTTGCTACACGACTATTCCTCATTCAGCACGGCATCGTCATAAACGCGGTTTCGTTTCTTTCGCAGGAATTCTTCCAATCGCGAAAGCTTGTTTCGTCTGTATTCGCTCAGAGGAATCTGCGGTGAAAGATCCGGGACATCTTGTAACTGCAAGAGAGATAATGAAGAAGCCTGCAGCAATCCAAAGATGCGATTCCTCTTGGGAACTCCCACCCTCTTACTGAGGCAAAAGACATTCTCCTAAATTTACATTAGTACTTACAATTTACCATTTTTCTCATTCTATTTGTTTACACTCGTTTTAGTCAGGTCCACTCACCCCCTCTTTGTCGCACTTTGAAGGGTTCAAAATACACTGATAAACTTGGCCCTGAGTTAGGCCCGGGAATCCAAGAACAGCGAGCAGGACAAGCACTCCAAAAACCTTCCAGGTCATCGTTAGATCACGAGTGAGAAATACGCTTGACTGATTATTATAACGACACCTAGCTGGCTTTTTATCAGTGTCTCATTGACATTCTGGCAGTTTTTCCTCGATCAAAGGTGACAGTGACGTAGGCATAATGAAGAAATGGTTGCTATTGTGCATCCGCATGTTGGATTTTGAGACGGTTGATTCAAAGCAAAAAAACACCTGTACTTTTTTGTGTTTCATTACCGAATATATTTTTGAAATGCTTTTGTTAAAATAGATGCCATCTAATGTTATCCAGAGATTAAAATATGATGAGTAATGGATGTATTTGAGGATGAGACTCCTCCAACAACTGGAGCCAGGACTGGGCTATGGAGTTCAACCCAACTAAATGTGAGGTTCATCGAATCTCCAAGAAGAATTCACCAACTGGAGCTGACAACAGGAACTACAGTATTAATTATTATTAATATTATTAGTATTATTAGTAATCAGTATTAATCGACATCTTGAGTGTATTTCCTCCATCACGAACCTTGGTATTATCGCGTCTAGCGACCTTTCATGGGCAAGGCATATTGAAGACATTGTTGCGAGGGCCAACAAAAGCCTCGACCTTATCAAAGACGCACACGGCATCTATGTAAAGCAGAATTTCTTTAATTTTTCTATTTCACTTTTAAATTTTAGATCATGTTTATATAGATTAAAGTAGATTGTAATTGTAATAATAGATTGTAATAATATTATTATTTCATCTGATAGATTTACCGTGTCTAAATAAAAATAAAGTTCAAGTTCAAGCTCAAAGAGACCTAAACTGGAATATGGCAGTAACCTGTGGTCACCTTACACAGTTAAACATCGCTAGCTGTCAGAAGATGTCCAGTAGGGCAACGAAGTTCNATCAGTTGAAACACATGCTAATCGCGACTTAGCGACGTTGTAGCTAGTTTGTTTGTTTGTATAGTAATCTAACTTTTCTGGTCGTCAACTTCTGCTGCTTCCCGCTTTCAGACCCAGTGTGAATGTGACCTTGAGTGCAAAGTTCTCGAGGATAAATGTCAAATAAATATGTTTGTCACTGAGACACGAAATACACACTGCTATCGTGTTGGTTTGGTTCACCCATCGTCGTCAGCAAGTCACAAAAACGAAAAGAAATTCTCCCCTTATTACTACTTTCTAAAGGGTGTTATTTCATAAAATATCTACCAAAATATCCCTGAAGAAAGATGTTTTTCGTCTAGTTACGAACGTGGTATAAATAAAAATTTCTGATTCCTCATTAAAGATCGAATTCTGGGCCCCGTTGCTCTACCACTGAGCTACAGAGACTCCATGGCAAGCAAGTCCCATTACGAAGTTCAAAACATCCTTATCCCAAAGAATTCATGTAGGAACTAGGTGAGGAGCTTCTACCAAGAAAACTTTTCACCATTCCCGTAATTGCTCGTTCCTTAATTTGTGCAATTTGAGGTGTAATCCATCACTAAGATGATTCATATTTTTGTAAAGCTGATTCTTTTTTCATATTTTGGTAAAGCTGTTCTTACGACTTCCTACTATTTGGCTTTATTTTGTCTACTTTTCCGAGCACCAGCAACTATTATCAGGCTCTCTGAAAGTCCTCTAACATCGGTAACTTCGAGCATCTCCGTACATTTACATACACTATCTAAATGGCAATGTGGTGGCGAACTTCTTATACTTTCATCTGGTCTACGTGGCGGCCATCTTGTTTGGAAAGACAGCTTCGACCAATTAGGTACTTTACCATTCGAATTGGCTATCATACGAATAGAATTTCTACTTTTAACCCATCTACTTTAAAAATTATTCGCAGTGGTGATGTTGAATCTAGCCCAGGCGATGAAATTGTCAATAATTCGCTTTGCAATACAGTATCGTCAACTAGTAATCATCGATGTTTGTTACTTAATGCTAGAAGTTTAAGGAACAAGGTCTTTGACTTACAAGCCCTGTTGCTAGAAGATTATTTTCCAGTCACAGCTATCACCGAAACATGGCTGGATCTTAGCTTCATGGACTTTGAATTAGCTTTGAATAACTACTACATACACCGCAAAGACAGAAAAGATCGTAGAGGAGGGGGTGTCATTTTGGCAGTACACATGGATTTGATCTCGGTTAGAAGAAGGGATCTGGAGAATGATGACAATATTGAAATCGTAGTGGTGGAAATTTGTCAAACCTCGAAGGATAACGTTTTATTTGGAGTGTGCTACAGATCCCCTAGTGCTGATGTGGAATATTCACTCACGATTACGTCAATGTTTTGAGAGAATTGAAACGACTAGATTTGCTACCTGCTACCTCGTGGGCGACTTTAACTTCCCATGCATAGACTGGCATAGCTTAACTGCTACCTCAAGCACTAAATGTACTGCTGATTTTTGTGATATGCTTGATGATCATTTTTTGGTTCACTGTAATCTCAATCCAACAAGAATGCCAAATGAAGCTGATGGCAAAATACTTGATTTAATCCTGACTAAAACTCCTGATATGGTCAGTAATGTTGAAGTACCGAGTGATCATTTTAATTCTGATCATTTTCCTGTTAGTTTCAA